CGGCAACTGTCCAAGCCCCGAGCCCACCCACAGCCCAGGACCGCACCCGGCGGTCCGCCCTTCTTCAGGACCCCCTCCCCAAATGTCAGTCGGGAAACGGGATGGGAATAAAGACCCTGACACTCACACCCCCACCCCCAGATGTACAGTTGGTGCGTGTTGTTCTATAGAGTAATTAAAAAAAGGAAAGAAGAAGAGGCCGGCGTGGTGCCAGTTTCCCCTTGTAGAGGAAACGTGAATATCTTCTCAAGAGACAGTCCTGTTAACTCCACCTTTTTCATCCTGCCTGTAACATCTCAAAGTTTGAATAATGCCTCCTGTTTAATTCATCTAATACATCACCTTTAGGCCTTAGAACAAAGGCTAGACTTCCTGTCGCCAGTTAATTGGTTTATCACCTCTTTCAGGATAAGTTTGGAATAAACATTGTTTGACATCAAAAGACTCCCATCAGATTTATCTGTGGGTCAGCAACGCCACCCTGTGGACATTATATCTACTAACCCTGAAAATATTTTATTTTTTCACCCATGTTTTCCGTTTATAACTATAAAAACATCTGTGAGGTGTCAAAATAATACCTCGGTACTCTGATTTAATTACTGTAATAATCATGACATTGTTTAAGTAACTTGATCTGGTTTGATTAACTATCACTCTGTCCATCTGTTACATGTCTGGCGGGGCCATGTGACCACCGCAGAAACTTTTAAACAACGAGAAGTTCCGTTGTGAACAGGGAGTATTTTTCATTGTTCTGCCTTAGTGAGTTCTAAAGAAGCGTTTGAGGAGAAAGCAGTAGTTTTTTTTAGCTCCAGCTTCCTCCATCTCGGGGYGAGGTCATTCTTTTCCACTTTTTATTTTTTATATAGTTTAATCTTAAGGAGCTTCCAGGAAGTAGATTTACATTGATTAAAACGATGAGGCTGATTTAATTCAAGTCGGACGACCACCAGTGTGCCGCAATGAAGCAGCCGCAGCGATGTGCTGGACAACATTCTCCAGTGAATGCAGCCRGCAAACCAGATGACCAGGGAACTTCTACACAACACAGCTAAGACTCGGTTGGACTTCCCGTGCCACCCAATTAGCCTAGAAGTATCCATTCTGGCGTCTACAACTTTGCCGGTAGGAAACATATTGCTCAATTAATCTGATGGTGTGTTCAAAGATTTAAGTCAGATCAGAGTTTAATCAATGTTCATTCTTCTTCCCCTGAGCTCCCTCTAGCAATAGGCTTAGAAATAGTGAGTAGTGTCCCACTGTACGTGTAGTAAGTCATTCACGTGGTAATCATGCCAGCTTAATTACATCACTTCTTGATTAAGTTTACAGGACTGATTATAAGTGTGTTTTGGTCTGAGAAATGATGTGTAATGCATATATTTCCCTCTGAACCTCATTTTAAATAATACACGGATGAATTTCCAAATGTGATTTGTCTCCGTCAGTGTATTTCCTTG